TTAATCCAGGGTCATGGAAGCCTCATCGCGGTTCCTCTGTTTGGTGTGTACAAGGAAAGAGGTTTGCAACTTACTAAACCGCACTCTTTGCAGAAAACATGTGGCAGCACGAAGGGGGAAATGAACGGGATCGAAACTTGATCCACATTAACACTGGAGTTAAACGGTTGGCATAAGACTGGCATGCTTCAACAATACCAGCTCACCACCTTACATGTCACCACATGATCATGTTGTCTTCCATCAAATGAAACACACCATGGTTCGAAGCTCACACGTAGTTGCCTTGCATGCAATATAACACTCGCAGTTGCTTATATGCACATGCCATGAACTAACTACTCAAGCAAACATGCAAACCACTCATCATATCAAAGGTTCAAACATGCTTGCCTGGTTCGGAGTAGTCGGAGTCTAGCTCGGTGAAGTTTGCGGTTCCGTCACCTCCTCCGGTATCTATGGTATAAAGAAAATGCGTACTAACGTAAATACCGAGTGTGCATAAAAGTTGTTCCAATTTTTTTCAAATAAATATGATAAAAAACTAGACAGAAAAATAAAGCTGACAAAAAAAAGAATCAACTCAAAATCATCTTTTGTTTAAAAGTTATTAAAGTTTTGGTGAAGGAACTCATTTGTAATGAAACAGAAAGTTTCCAGGGGGTAGTTTATAAAAGCAGAAAACGTTTCGGTTAGAAACACGCCAACCCCAAAGGAAAACGTATTCTGCCCGAAGGCGTTTTTAGAAAACGGTTCGAAAAAAAGAGAAAAAGCTGACGAGGGGGTCCAACCGTCAGGTTTGAATCTCAAAACAGAGCCACCGGCGCCCAAGGGCCGCGGTGGTCGCCGGCGGCGATCCACGACGAGGTAGGGGGAAAGGAGGGTACCTACGGGTTCATTGAGGCCTTCCGCACCTGTGGGTGGTGGAGTTGGTCGTCGGCGAGCACCACGTCGACGGCGGCCTCTACTCCCGCGGACGGCGGTTCGGGTGGGGATGGGTCTCGCCGAGGAGGGCTGCAACCTTCAAATTGGAGTTTGGGTTAGAAGTGTGGGTGCACTAGGAGGTTGCTGACAAGGTATGGGAGGCGGGGTTGCTCTCACCGGAGCGGATCTTGTCGAAGCCCGAAGCGGATCGGGGCGGCTGGAGTTGGGGAAGAAGGCCTCCCCGAGGTCTTCCCAGTAGCTAGGCGTGGCTCTGGTGAGGTGGAGGGGTGATGCCTGGTCGAGATCGAGCTCGATGCCCCCCTTTTATAGCCGGCCCGAGGCGGTTGCAGCGAACGGGATAACTCCGGCAATGATTACGGCGAGGCAGTGATCGGGCAGGTGGGTTAGGTGGCTGGGCATCATCGTATTGGTCTACTGGACCCGTTCTGGGGCTAAACTTGGCCTGACTTGGGTGATACTCCAAGTTCCTGACGGAACGGCCTCGCGGGCACGTCGGCGGCAGGGAGCGCGCCCTGTGCTTCTCAGGCCACGGCGACGGTGCTGCAGCGTGCACAGGCAAGCGGACAGCCACGCCGAGGACTCTGGTGGCTTGGGCGGTGCTGGTCGGCGCCGAAAGGCAGGGCCGGCCCCTGCTGGCCGCCACGGGTGGCTCTGCCACCGTAGAAGACGCCGGCGCTGGCGAGACACGTCGCCACCGACGCTTGCGTCCGTCCAAGCGACCTTGCGGCGCACTGGATAAGGAGAAGGAGCAGTGAGTATCGTGCTAACGCGGGCACTGGCGAGATTGACGCCATGCTCTGAAGAAACGACACTGTCGACTGAACTGAATCACTGAATCTCTGAACTTTACTGAATTTTGACAGAAACAGTGCACGCCAGGTGTTCGATGAAATGTTTTTGGCATGTGGGAATTTCTTCTGGAGTTGATCCTTGGTGAGGTGACCTCTCAATGCATCTAGGGGTTGCCTGATTTATCCCAGAATTTTTGGAGAAGAAAAATGATGAATTTCATCAAAAATGGTAAATCTGGTTCAAACTTGCAGTAAGCAAAATTTGAAAATTTTGAACTGTGGACAAGTGGATCTTGATGGATCTAGGTTGGGGGTACTAAGGATTAGTCAGAGGAGTTTGTTTGGAATCAAAACACAAAAGGGATCTGGTGGTTCCTTTGTAAATCACCAAGGTTCAAAATAAATGACAGAAATAGTTTTGAGGATAAAATAATTAGAATAAAAATAAAAAATGGGTTGAACTTGCTGGGATTGGATATTAGACTTGACCCAAAGTGGAGGGAGGGGTTTTGGAGTAAAATTTTCAACCTAGGTCATGGCAAGAAAAATTTTGAATGAGGAAGAATCAATCCATAAGTCATAGGGTTATTTTTAAAAGAAAGGATTTCAAAAACTTTCCCAAAAGAAAATATTTGTGTTGAGTCAAGCCTTCAAGACCAAAATAAATGTTGAGAAGAACACATAAAAATACTTGCCATAAAAGTTTTGAGAAGGAGAGGCTTTTAATTTTTTTTTAAATAACCTCCTTTAAACCAAATAATTTTTTTGATAAAAACTAAATCAAAATTTTTGGGGTGTCACAATCCACCCGGGTGTATAAGGGGAAGGTGTGGTGGTTTGGGGAGTCCGTCTCTAGATACCCTAATGTGCTAGGATCATGTGTTTTGCCTCTTGTCTCACGTATTTATCCCTGACTTTTACTTGACTTGACCTGGTGTGGTTTTGGTTTCCTACTTAGGTCATTGGCAATGCTGTTTTCAATAAGCACCAAGTACATAGCCTTGTAGATGTCCATTTTTTTAAAGTTGAACGAACTTGAAGTTGTTTGACTAAGAATAAACTAAAATTTTAAATATTTTGACATGGAGGAAGTACTTGCTTTCATCTTTGCATTCACTAAACAAAATGTTGAACCTATGTTGGTTCCATGGCCCGCTACGTCCTCCCTATTGTAATGAGCTTCACCCGCTTTCATCTTCTATGGTCACTTAGGCTCAGAATTTCGTTTAACTTTCATCTTTGCATTTACTAAACGAAATACTACTAAATCCATGTTGGTTCGATGGGGTGCATCATTCCTGTTGTCATGCATGATCGGTTCACTAAACGAAATATCTTAGAAAGGCACTAGAAAAGAAAAGTAGCAAATGAAACATACACAACGCGCCACGCGCAATGAAAGTCAACTATCATGTTGCTTTCTATGCGCTTGTGTGGGGAACTAACTTCAACCACCGGATCACCTAAGTAATTGCCTACATTGTGTGTCATGATTGATACACATATTTTATTTACTGATGTAAATTATTGTTTGAAACTTTCGTATTTTTATCGGTTTCTACTCTTTGAATTGTATCCTCCCACCACCCCTATTATGCTTGCCTTTTCAAAACCAGCCGAATTTTTTAGTTTTTTTTGACTTATCATGGATTTCAATTATTTTTCCTGGAATTTAAATAATGTTGACTCAGCCCTTTTCTTTTTCCTTGTACACATCATGTCTAGAAGAAAAAAAAAACAACACATAGAAGACAGATCAGCCAAAACTGCCCAACTCTCTTAAACAAAACGTTGTGGCGCCGACCAGTGTCTTCTAAACATTATTTGCGGAGAGAGTTGGACATCAAACCTGAACAATAGTTTAGACAACACGCAACCATCTCTTTCTGAATCGCTAACTAAAAGCGACCATTTGTTCTATAACTTCTTCCGTTTTATTGATAAACCGAAAATTCATCTGATGGAACAAACCGAAACATACATAAACAACAAAATTCCCTGGTAAAACCATTATTGCTCCACCTTTTCCGTCTTGATCTTTCTCTAAATGTTGGTAAAAAAAACCATAAAGACAATACCTTCACAGTCTGGGCTGATCTCAATGTTTTTGAGCGGTTGCTTTAGGCACCCACCCTAATAGGTGAGAACCTAAAACCGCTGAACACGTTAAGGTCATTACAAGACAGGATGTAGGACCATTGATTTATAATTGTACTATCACGGAAACCGTTCGTTACTACCACAGAAGAATGATACTACATGATTACCACTTACTCCCTTCGTCCACGAATAAGTGTACTTCTAGCTTTTGTCCTAGGTCATTACAAGACAGGATGTAGGACCATTGATTTATAATTGTACTATCACGGAAAACGTTCGTTACTACCACAGAAGAATGATACCACATGATTACCACTTACTCCCTCCGTCCACGAATAAGTGTACTTCTAGCTTTTGTCCTAGGTCAAAGTTTTAAAACTTTGACCAACTTTATAGAAAAAAGTACTAGCATTTATGACACTAAATTAATATCACTAGATCTATTTTGAAATGTACTTTCATAATATATCAATTTGATGTCATATATGTTATCACTCTTTTGTATATAGTTGGTCAAAATTTCAAAACTTTGACTTAAGACAAAAGCTAGAAGTACACTTATTCGCGGACGGAGGGAGTACAAGTACAACCACAAACTTGACACCACCACCAATACTAGCCAAAGTGTGAGATGACAAACCGCCAGATGTAGAACCGGCAATCTGTGGAAGGAAAACACCACAGGTTCACAATCACCACAATGATCACACCAGGATAGCGATTGAGACACGAGGATTTTATTCTGCGCGACAGCTTGTCCACCACCAAAGCATCGCAACCAACGGCACACAAAGTATTAAAGAGAAAACTAAAGTGGACTCCAGACACGGTCCGCAGTTCTAGGGGATGCATATGGAGCTCCTTAATATATGTGCACTATGATAAGAACACGCCAAACAAAATTGAAGTAACAACCACCGGATAAGTCTCACAAATCTGAAATATATGAAATGGGCCGTAGCTAGCTAACACGATGCATACAGCTGGCTAGTATATACAAAATAAAGACAGACAGAGACTTGCATAGAGTTGACTTGATGCAATATTGCCAGCGCCCAAATTCCAATAAGATCCAATCCCACACTTGAGAAGAAACATTTACCCTGCTCCCGTCCCACGACCTTTCATCTCGAGAGGTGAGAAAGATCACGAACGGTGGCAGCCATGGCGGCGGTCGGCGGCATGCTTGCCGCTGCCATACTCAAGGTGGTGGGTGACCAGATTGGTTCTGTGATCGGAGGCCAGATCAAGCTGCAGAAGAACTTGGATGAGGATCTGAATGGCATGAAGATGACGCTGGAGTCTATTGAGGCGGTGCTCAAGGTCGGCGGGAGGCAGGCTATTATCGATGAACAGACGCGGCTTTGGCTGAAGCGGCTCACGGTCGCCATGTATGACATCTCCAGCCTGATTGACAAATTCGAAGACGACACTCAAGCAATCACCGAGCATTCCGTGCTGAAGGTAGTCTTCAAACCCTCTCTTGGCTATGTTTATGAACCAGTTGCTCTTCGGGAATCAAATTTTCCACTCAACGTATTCGCGTGTGTGCAGTATATATGAGTGCAAATATTTGAACTAGGGTAGGTAGAATTAGGAGATTGTTCTCGCATGTTCTTTGCGGTCTACCAAATTTGTACCGTATATTCCGTATAGACACAAAATTAGTGAATAAATTAATTCACGTCAGGAGGAAACACACGGAATAAAAGGATGAATCTCGACACATAAGCAATAGGAAATTTTGAGAAAAAATCAAGAAAAGATACTTCAGTAGGAATATAATATGTATTTGAGATTTTCAAAATGCTATAACACATGACTATGGTTCTAACAGTTTAAAGTGGTTTGTTCCACAACTCATCAGAACTTATTTCCCTGGCGTGTAAAAACAAGGATAAGTGTGATGTCCATAGAGGCAGACACTAACTTATATCCATTGATTGTGTGGACGTTGGTGATCCGTGAACACTATTAAAGACAAGGCTGTTCGCACGTCACTCGTTGACGAGTTCTTTCCGTCGAGATCGAGCACTCCTGTTTGTCGAGCCGGCCGAGTACTTTCCGGCCGTACGCAAACTGTACGTACAGAACAAGCCTAAGCTAGCAAGTGGATGCTTCTGTGGTGGCTAGCTACGAACTATGCAACGCCGCCGGGCTGATCGATTTGAACTAGCACAAGTCGCCGAGAACTAGCACAAGTCGCCGAGAACACACCGTCGCCGCCAGCTGCTGATCTCCCTCATCCGGCCACCTCCGGCCCAGCCAAGCACAGATTCAGAATCCTCACGACATCCTCTCTCCATCCATCCCGAAGCCCGGCGCGACCCCCTCGCGACCCCCTCCCTCTCGAGACCCCCTCGCGCCGCCACCCAGGGTGACGCCAGGGGGACCTAATTCCTCGCGCCGCCAGCCTTCCCGCGAGGCAGATCGCTGCCGCCGGCACTGGCCGCGGTGGTGGCGGCGCCCGACGCTTAAAGGGATAGGGCAGGAGGGAAGCGACGGATCTCCCAACAGGCGGCTAGGGCGCCTCATGCGGGGTCTTCACGGGACAGCCACATTGGCATCCTGGCTGTGCGGCGGCAGCCGGCGAACCCAAGGCTGGCGAGGTCCTCCAGTGGGATTCTCCGCTATGCGATGGGTGGCGGCGGTGGCCGTGGATCTGACGTTCAAGCCAGACGATCCGTCGTGGTTCGGCTATGGCCGGCCGGCGGCGCGTGATGGGGCCGGGGTGGGGCGATCGAAGGTCCTCAACCGGCTTTCCGATGGCACCATACGTCTTCATGGCAAGGTTCCGCTCGGTTCCAGACAGCCGCGAGATCGGGACAACGTGGCTTCCGGTGAAAATCTCGCCTGACTGCGGTCTTGGCGGACGATGGCGGCGCCGCGGACGTCGTTCCCTTCTTGAGGCATCGTCGTTGCAGGTCACGTCAATCTGATCTTGAGGCATCGTTGTTGCAGGTCACGTCAACCTGATCTTGAGGCATCGTCGTTGCAGGTCACGTCAACCTGATCGGGAAGTTCCGGGGGAAACCCTAGATCTGGGTCTACCGAATCAGACGATGACGACGCTTTCGGTGGCATTCTCCATTCTGGGGGCATCGTTTTGGAGCAAGTGCTGGTTGGAGGGGACAAGAGGAGGAGCGGTGATTTATCTTGCCCATTGTAGCAAAAAACGATGTGCCTTGAAGCACGCCGAAGCCCCTCTGTCGTTGCAGCACCTATCAGTCGCCGTCGTCGCTGCGTTATCGTGTCGCCGTGCAGCTCTCAATGTCGCCGCTTGCCACCATTGGCGAGTCGGATTGAAGCTTTTTCTATCATCGGTTGCAGCTTTTCTCTATGCCGATTGAAACTTTTTTCACACATTAAAACTTCCGCCATGCCGATTGAAGCTTTTTTGACCTAGGGTTGAAGCTTTTTGGTAAGGGTTGCAGCTTTTCCTGTGACCAACATTTTGGTTGCGAAAAATTCCCCCCGGCTGAGGATTTCTTAATCTCTGGTTGAAGATTTTCATCTGTGGGTTGAAGCTTTTGTCAAAACGGTTGTAACTTTTCCTCTGTTCCATTGTTTGGTTGAAGCTTTTTTATCTACTGGATGTAGCTTTTTGCGTCCACGGTTGTAGCATGGGGAAACATTGTATGCAACTCTCCCCGATGCCGCGGTTGCAGCTCCCCCCGGTCGCCATGGTCGTAGCACAGGGCACCTCGGTCCCCTCCACGACGTTTTGCCTGCCGCCGGTTGCAGCAAAAAAAGGGGGGAAAGAGGAGGAGGAGAAAGGAAGTGAGGAAGAAGGAAGAAGGGGGAGGTGGGAACACGAGCGGGGCTGCAACCATGGCCGGCGGGGACTTCGATCTTCCAAGCTCATCCATGGCCGACGGCGAGCTGCTCACGTGCTGCATCAGGGAAGGCGAGAGATGCATGCGTTGTGGGGCGAGATCCGCGCGAGGTTGAAGAAAGCAAAGAGGATAGCGTTTGGTGGCCCCGTGTCTACGTCTTGCCTGGTGGGTGGCTGGGGCGAAGCACGCGTGGACGCGACCGGCCCAAAGTCCGGCCGGCGCACCGCACCCAATCGTTTTCCTTAATAAAATGGTTGTATGCATCATCCAGATGCAGAGGCCGGGGCTCTTCCTCCTTTTCTTAAAAAAACATATAAATTAACAAATATGGCCTTCCTCACAAACTTCTACGGACTTACCAACATGATGGTTAGAGGTATGTGTATTACGTCAGATCCCAGATCCTTTTTATGTAGGGCAGTGCTAGGGGCCGGCGCACCGGCCAAACTTTTCGGCCGGTCGGCTGCCTAGCATTTGATGGGACCGCCTCGAACGGTTGGATCTCATTCGATTGGTCAAACGCATAATTCATCCTCCGTCTCGCACGTCTAACAACCCCCGAAAACCTCCACCCCGTCTAGATCGTGTCTTCCACCATGCCGCGTTGCCAGCAAATCTCCTCCCCCCTGCAGGAGGTCGCCGTTTATCGCCGCTGTCCCCTGCATCTTGACTCCTCCTGTCGCCAGATCGCTCGCCGGTTGTAGCAGAGTGGTCGGTTGTAGCAAAAAAAAACACAGAGCAAAGGGACGAATGCCGTTTGAAGCAAAATCCATGGTTCCAACAAAACAATACGGTTGAAGCAAAATCCATGGTTCCAACAAAACAATAATGTGGTTCGAACAAAAATTGACATGGTTTCCAACAAATTGATTTCCAGCAAAAAAAAACATGGTTCCAGCAAAAACAACATGGTTTTCAACAAAAATTGATATTGTTCCCAGAAAAAAAACATGGTTCCAGCAAAAAATGACATAGTTTCAGCAACACCCATATAGTTCCCAGAAAAATTTACATGTTTCCAGCAAAAAAATGATATGGTTCCAGCCGAAAAGTGATATGGTTTCAGTAGGATCGATGTAGTTTCCAGCAAAAATTGTACATGTTTCCAGCAAAATAACTGGATGGTTCCAGCGAAAAAACAGACAAGATGCTGTGGCATCATTCTGCAGTACCTTCCCCTCGCCGCCGTTGTAGCAGCACCTCGCTTTGCCCATGGTAGCATTTTACCTTGCCCGTGGTAGCACAAAAAAGAGAAAAAGCTCAGCGGTCTATGGTCGCAGCGCCGCCGCAGCCTGTATGGTGTCGCCGTCGCCGTTTGCAGCTTCCCCGCGAACACCGTTTGCAGCTTCCCTCAGACGTGGCTGTATCATGGTCGCGGCAGCCCCCGGTCACCCCAAAAACCAGGGCCGTCCTACTACCCATGGCCGCCCCACTCGCAGCAATGGCAACACGCGGCGAGGACCAGTGACTTTCATCGAAGGTGTGTGGTCGGGCACATGGCGACGCTGAACCGGGCCGCGCGCGTGGGCAGCAGCTTGTAGCAGCAGTAGTGCGCAGGGCAGCAGGCAGCAGCTCCTTCATGGGGAGGAGATGGAGGAAGAACCGATAGAGAAAGAGATGTGGATGGAGGTGGAAAAAAGGAGTGGAGGAAAGCACCGCAGCCGCGAAGGGATAAGGTCGAGAGGTCCACATCCCACGCGTGCGAGCGAGAGCGACCGGCCGAGCGCTCGGCCGGTCTGCCGGCGCGAAGAGTTTTCGTTTTATGTAGCCTTAAATTCAGAGGTACCAAATTATTTGAACGGAATATACATATTTCGATGACCGTCGAATTTCCTAGACAGCACAGTGCCAATGAGAATAATGCTGACCTGACTAGCTTAGTACCAACCAAGGTTTGTGCACAACAAAAAGGTATGCACCATGAAGGCTGAGGGTGAGATGCATAATGTCAGCAAGACTCAGATTTTGTTAGATTACGTATCATGCAAAAATGAGTACTACTTCATCCAATCAAAATACAAAACACCTTCAAAATTTATTTTACCATGACCAAAGTAATGAAGGCGCATTAAAGCATTTTTGTGTAATACAAATATATTTTGTTTTCAGTTGACATCTTGCATTACTAACAAATAAAAATGAAATACTATGCAGTCATCCCCCAAGAAACAACTTTTGCGGTTGGTCTCTTGTCTCCATATAGGCCCCAAGTTTACGGTGGCTAATGAAATGAAGATGATGCGAGATAAACTGAACGTGATCGCAGATCAACACCATGGCTTCACCTTGTTAGCAGGCACTAGCACTATTCAGCTCAGTGTTACTGATATACGAGAAACATCGTCGACCATGGGGGATGAAGAGCATATCGTTGGGAGGAGGGATGTGAAAAACAAAATATTAGCTTGTTTGTCTGAGAGCATGACAAAAGAGTTCACTGTTCTTCCTATATATGGCATCGGAGGAGTTGGAAAGACAACCTTGGCAAAAACTGTTTTCAATGATTCCCAGTTTAGAGACTACTCTCAGGTGTGGATCTATGTTTCCCAGACATTTGACTTGAATAAAATTGGGAATTCTATAATATCACAAATATCAAAAGAGAAGAGCCCACACACTGAAAAGCAGATGATCCATAATTCCCTTCGAGGGTTATTAACTAATGGGAAGATTCTGATCGTTTTAGATGATTTGTGGGAAGAAAATGAATCTCAGCTAAAAGATTTGCTGGATATGTTAAAGCTTGGACAGAGTGGCAAGGTGGTTGTTATAGTAACCACACGCTACGAGGGTATTGCAACGAGAATTTGTACTATTGAATCTCACAAATTAGCACCACTACCAGATGACCAGTGCTGGGCTATCATAATGCAAAAGAGTGACTTTAAGTCGAGATACGACCAGGAAGAGTTGCAGCACATAGGGATGGACATTGCGAGTAAGTGTGGAGGTGTGGCTCTAGCAGCCCAAACAATTGGACACATGCTGCATTCTCTTCCATTTGATGAATGGGAGTCAGTGAGAAACAGTGATTTCTGGAATTTATCTGATCCGGATGATACAGACTTGACACATGTGCTTCCATCCTTGAAGTTAAGCTACAGTGTCATGCCTTCATATTTACAGATATGTTTTGCCTATTGTGCAATTTTTCCAAAAGGTTACAAGATAGTTAAAGATGACCTGATTCATCAGTGGATTTCGTTGGGTTTCATCAAGGCAGATACCAAGTCATCCACTTGGCAGCTTGGTGAGAAATGTATTAGGCAGCTTCTGGGGCTGTCCTTCCTTGAACATTCAAAGTCAGCGCTGGTGAGTTAGTTCATATGTTATACATATCGAATGTTTTAATGATTCTTTGAATTATTGTGCAATACACACAGTGCATGCTATTGAAACGACCATGTATCTATTGTAGGTTTTTTCTGACACAATCTATTATGTACGATGTATCATATCATAAAGTGGCATCTCATTGCGGCGTGCTATTTTCGAAACAAGTTTCTAAAGATGGCTATAGTGCATACACTTTTTTTTGTTTCGATAAAGGGCTTTTCATTGAATTGAACTATCGAATTGATACAACCGCATCAAAGATAACCCGGCCTCTGCATATCTAGATGCACACAGCCAAAATACCAGATCCCAAAAAACAAAACAAAAAGGCGGAACGCCAGCAGTAGCGAAAAAAGATAAAAGAGGCCTAAGGTGATGCCGGGCCTATCCGAAGGTCACACCGCCATCCATGGGGGTAGAAAATGTCCCTGGCCGAGCACTCCAACCGGGTAGAAGCCATCATAAATAAGTCTCTGTCCTCCGGCCTCTGCAGGATAGACCACATACGGAGCCATCGCGAGCATATATGAATTACCTGCATAGGAGATGAAACACTTTTATGATTAAAAACAATATCATTCCTGGTTAGCCACAACGCCCAACATAAGGCAGCCGCCCCCGCAAGAATGTGCTTAGAAAATTGTTTATCTATTCCCCTCAGCCAATTCCCGAACATATTCCGTACGCTGCGTGGAGGGTATAGATTCGAAGCAATTTGGACTATTGCCCATACCGATCTAGCGAATTTGCAATCAAAAAATAGGTGTTTAATGGATTCATTATGATTGCAAAAAACACTTTTTTTGCTGCCTTGCCAGTTTCGTCGAACTAAATTATCCCTAGTTAAGATAACTCCTTTGTTGAGAAACCAAAGGAAAATCTTCACTCTTAGAGGAATCTTAAGCTTCCACAATTTTCTATTATCAGCTGGGACCTCGTTATGAACCAGTGCATCGTACATGGATTTAACCGAAAATCTTCCGTTCAGATGCAGGTTCCATTTAAAGATGTCCGATTCAGCCGACCATTGGACAGCTTCCAAACGAGTCAGCAGATCGTTCCATGCATTCAAACGAGGTCTAGAAATCGTTCGGCGAAAAGAAATATCCGGGTTTACTTGTCCCAATACCTGCTTGATCGTGACAAACTTATGTCTAACTATTCGATATAAGCTTGGGTATTGCACATTTAGAGGAGTAGTCCCTAGCCAGGTGTCTTCCCAGAATCGAATCTGGGAGCCATCCCTGACAGAGAAGGTGCCAAATTGGAAGAAGAATTCCTTAGCTTTCATAACCCCACTCCAAAAATGAGAGTCACCTGGTTTCCAGTAAACCTGGGAGATTGCTTTGGACCCAACATATTTATTACAAATGATCTCCTGCCAAACACCATCCTCAGTGAGTAATCTGTATACCCATTTGCTGAGCAATGAAATGTTTTTGATCTCAAGATCCTGGATTCCGAGTCCCCCTTGACTTTTGGGCCGACATATAATATTCCACCTAGCCAAGCGATATTTCTTTTTTTCATTTTCGCTCTGCCAAAAAAACCTTGATCTAAAATAATCAAGGCGTTGGAGAACACCTTTTGGCAGATGAAAAAAAGATAGCATATAAAGAACCATGTTGGTAAGTACCGAGTTGATAAGAACTAGTCGGCCCCCATAGGACAGGAGTTTGGCCTTCCAGCTCGCCAACCGTTTCTCCAGTCTTTCTTCAACATGTTTCCATTCAGCGATTGTCAAACGCCGATAATGAATAGGAATACCTAGATATCTAATCGGAAATTGGCCTAAATGGCATCCAAATATCTCCGCATAACCTTGTGAATTTTCTGCGGCTTCGCCAAAACAGAATAGTTCACTCTTATGAAAGTTTATCTTCAGGCCCGAGAGCTCCTCAAAAGCACATAATACCAATTTGAGGTTTCTGGCCTTTTCAAGGTCGTGATCCAAAAACAGAATTGTGTCGTCCGCGTACTGCAAAATTGAGAGGCCTCCTTCTACTAGATGAGGAATGACCCCGGTGATTTGTCCAGCTAGTTTGGCCCTCTCGATGAGAGTAACTAGCATATCAGCCACGATGTTGAAAAGGATAGGAGATGCGGGGTCGCCTTGACGAAGCCCCTTCCTAGTCTGGAAATAATTGCCTACGTCATCGTTGACCTTGATAGCCACACTACCTCCAGACACAAAACTCTCAACCCATCGGCACCAAGTGTCAGAAAACCCTTTCATGCGAAGAGTTTGGAGCAAAAAAGGCCACTTCACCTTATCATAAGCTTTCTCGAAGTCAATCTTAAAGATGACACCGTTCAACTTTTTACGGTGAAGCTCATGAACTGTTTCATGGAGAACAGCAACACCGTCTAAGATGTTCCGTCCTTGCATGAAAGCCGTCTGAGAAGGTTTCACTACATGGTCTGCGACCCCATTCAGACGGTTGGTCGCGACCTTGGTGAAAATCTTAAAGCTCACGTTTAATAAGCAAATCGGTCTATACTGTTGAATCCGATTGGCATCCTTTGTCTTTGGTAAAAGAATAATTTCACCAAAATTTATTCTGGAGATGTCTAGTCTATGAGCATGCAGTTCATTAAACAATTGAACTAGTGCATACATAGAAATGCTTGCTCCTAGATCATCCTTAGAAAATATTGACATTGTTTTTCTATGGTATGCGACTTAACAGAAAATATAATGTAACCTTACGGAAGTATGCTAGCGGCAAAGTTAACGTTCAGGTGCAAAATTGCCTTCCTAACATCAGACCAGGGCCGAAATTTTAATGCTAAAAGTTTGTCTCTGCATGTGACAGTTCATAAACATAGTTTCTCAAATCTCACTTGTGCAATTGGTTTTTGTGCTTCACTTTGAGAAACTACCAGAATTAATTAGCATTAGAAACGACACCATTTGTTCACTGGCCAGTGAGTTTAGAGGCCACATGTTGTTGACCTACACAATTGTGTATGTTTGTCTGCGCTCTTGTATGCTACATGTCATTAGATTTTAGTATGCAATAAATGTGTTAATACATATAATGATTGGTATAGTAAAAAAATGACACTGCTAAGCTTTCGTTACAGAATACAGGAGTTAATTTTGAAAATGGTACATCGTTGACCATGCACGATTTGGTGCACGATCTAGCAAGATTGGTCATGGTGGACGAAATACTTGTCGCTGGCAAACAGGGCAGCTCTTCAGGAAGATGCTGGCACTTTGCATTGCTAAATGAGGTCATGGTTGCCGAAGTATTAATCAATAGCAAACAAGGCAACTCTGGAGGGAGCTGCTGCCACTTTGCATCGCTCAATGACCGTACCATGCAATTGGAGTTATCCAAGATAAGGGCACTCTGTTTTATGGAGTGTACAGAAATTGAACTTCATGGTGTTGCCTTGTCATCTGCTAAGTCCATGCGTGTCTTGGACTTAAGCGAGTGCTCCATACTCAAGTTGTCAAATTCTATTGGTGACCTGAAGCAGCTGAGATATCTTAACGCTCCAAGAGTCCAAGATGCAAAGATTCCTGATAGTATCACCAAGCTCTCAAAATTGATTTACCTGAACCTTCATGGCTCTCCTAAAATCTTAGCACTACCAGAATCAATTGGAGAAATTGAGGGTCTAATGTATCTTGATTTGTCAGGTTGTTCAGGAATTGCAAAACTGCCAGAATCATTTGGGCGTCTAAAAGAATTGGTGCATTTAGATTTGTCAATGTGTTGCATCCAGAAGCTCCCTCAAACTTTGGGCAGATTCATTAAACTGAAGTACTTAAACTTATCATGTTGTCAGAAAATAACAGAATTGCCAATCGGATTTGGGAGTCTCAGAAATTTGGTGCATGTTGATTTATCAGGCTGCTCTGACGTTGCTTCCAACGATGGAGCTTTTTTTGGTCTTACTAATTTGCAATATCTGAATTTAAAAGATACAAGTTTCACATCGCCGCAGCTACAACGTCTGACCAAACTCAAGTATTTAAATCTATCTGCACTCTATAGCCAGAGAGAACATCAAGATATCTTTGACAGGCTCTTCAGTTCCATAACCCTTAATCAACCTGATCTAGAGCATTTGGATTTGTCTGATAATTCTGCTATTAATCTTATACCTGTAAGTCTTTATAGACTCAAAAAGCTGCATACGTTGGACCTCTCAGGATGCGTATATCTTAAGAAGATAGAAGAAAGCAAACACACAATTAGTAGCTTGAAGTTTCTGTATTTAAGAGGTTGTGTCAATCTTGATATTGATAGAATTCCTCAGCTTGGTGGCAGTACAGTATCATTACCACGCTTTGGGGTGCGTGTTGCTACTGATGAATCTAGCAGTAATCTTGTCCTGCTACAACCCACAGACCCGATTGAGCTGCATATAACTGAACTTGAAAATGCAAAGTCCGCAGGAGAGGCACACAGTATAAAATTAATGGAAAAGCGCAGTCTTCAGGACTTGGAACTGGTCTGGACTCCAGATGTTAAGAGATTTATGGATGACAAAATTTTGTTGGAAGAACTAGTGCCACCATGCACGTTGAAGAAGTTGGAGATACGTGGTTACAATAGCGTGAGCTTACCAGCCTGGCTAGTGGACCAACTACCAAACCTAGAATTACTAGTTCTGCGTGATATGGAAAACCTGGAAGAGTGGAACACGTCATACTCGTGTGCTGAGGAGCACGTGATTCAAACATTGGAAATACATAACTGCCCCATGTTAAGGATGAAACCACCTCTGCTTAAAGCTAAATCCTGGAAGATAAGCGACAGTGATAATGTGTTATCATCATGGAATGACTGCACTGTGTCACACACTGGTGCTTCTTCCTCTTCTCCAATAACTACTATGCTATCAGTTCAAAGATACAGGGGGCCTCATCAATGGAGGTTGCTTCAACACTTCCCTGCACTCTCTTCTTTGTCTATCATAAGGGGTTATCTAAACAGCTCACCAGAGATCATTGGGCATCTATCCTATTTGAAGACAATATGCCTAAGTCAGATACTCATGTTAGAACTGCCACAATGGTTGGGTGAGGTCACATCTCTACATAATCTCGAATTAAGGTCTATCGATGGTTTAGAGGAGTTCAATGAGAGCATGAGGCAACTCCAAAAGCTACAGTCACTAAAACTGATCAGTTGCAAGAGCTTATCGCTGCCACACTGGTTAGGTGAATTGACTTATCTCAAGGAACTTAGCATAGATGGCAATGGAGTATTGAGGTCTTTGCCAGCAAGCTTACAACAAAACAGCAGCATACAGAAAATACAGATCTCTGACTGCCCTAATTTAGAGGACGTGATTGTTGAATCAGAGGAGGGAACGATGGAGCTGGCTCACAACCAAGAAAGTGTGTGTGTCCTGCCCACCTCTCTGAGGGAACTTAAGATCAGTCACTGTCAGGGTATCATGTCTTTGCCTGAGGGAATTCAGCAACTCACCAACCTCCAAAGTCTAGTCATTAGTTCGTGCCCTGAACTAAGGCAATGGTGTGAATCAGAGGAGAACAGGATGAAGCTGGCTCACATAGAAAACATGGTATGTATGTGTCCTGGCATGCTCTCGGTCATCCTAATCCTATTTGCCATGCTTACTCATCTTTTCTTGATGGAAGAATAGTATATTCTGCCATGCATTTCTTAGAGGGTTCTTTCATGGATTGATGTCTTGCTGTTAGTTTACATAGCTTTGCATTTTTTTCTTCTGTTATAGAAAGCTCCTCGTTTTACAAAATGTAAGAGTAGCAAAAGGATTAATTCTCTTACTTTTATAGTACGTCTAGTGATGGTGTGCTACTACCGGTGTAAGGAAAGGATTGACACATCAACTGACTTAGGGATTTGGTTGCAGCACTGTCCAATGCGTTACACTTGCAACTAGTTTTACGCGATCTGAACAGAACATTTTCCTTTTGTATGTATAAACTGCGAACTTATCATTCGCATGAACTAGAATCTGAGCTAATCAAACAATTGTGATCATTCATTTTGCAGAAGATTTGGTCCTAGACAGTGCATATGCCGCACACCCAGGTTGTAAAATCAAGTTAGTGTATCAGCATGCAAGACTTTGTTCTGGCGAATTAAATTTGATGGTGTCAAAGGAGGACCATCAGGAGCATGCAAGGGAAATTTGGAATTACGAGCTATGGTGACGGGAAACTTGTTTGCAAGATCTTCAGCATGCAACTTTGGGGCTGCGGGTCATCACCTGTACTAGTGTTCTGTTCTACAGGGTCTCAAAACTCTCAACCTAGCTAGTCATGTGTCTTTTGTGCTTAGTTTGCATAGTTATGTTTCCTTCTTTGGTCACAGCCGAACTGCACGGCTGTGTTTTGTTTGTTTGACCAAACAGATGATTGTAGAACTTGTAATGTTTGTGAGTTTTATTCATTATTATTCTGTCCTAACACTTGGTTGTTGAGGATGCCTCACACTTGAAGTCCGTTGGTAGTTTGTGATGGTATCAAGTCTTTGCCTGAGGGAGAGGGGATACAGCAACTCACCGACCTCCCACAACTAGACATTTATAAGTGTTCGGGACTAAAGCAGTGGCGTGAATCAGAGGAGACCAAGATGAAGTGGCTCACATAGAGAAGAAGGTATGTGTCCTGCCACGCCCTTTGTCATACTAATCTTATTCTGATATGCATCATCTTTCTTCTTTTCTTGATGTATTCGGTCTTGCATTTCTTTCTAAGTAGGGTCTTTCATGCATAAATGCCAAGATATTCGTCTACTTTGCTTTGCAATTTCTTTCTTTTTTTGTTTAAAAGCACTGTTTTGCAAAATATAGCAATAGCACAAAGACGAGTTCTCCCGCATCCGCCGCCGCCTGCATCAACACTGCCTCTCGGCGAGCAGAGCTCTGCCGTCGCCCTCCACCATTTCCTCGCCCATCTCACCCTCCTCCCTCTATCCGCCTCATGTGCCCGCTCTCGCAATCATGGCCATAGCTCGGCAGTAGAGTAGTCCGTTGGTAGTTTGTGATAGGTGCTGCTGTACATGCTTGTTGAGCTTGAGCATGCCTAAACACTTGAAGTCTGTTGCTAGTTTGCCTGTGAGCGAACAACTCTACTCTGTTAACACTTAACAGGCAGCTAACCATGCCGAAGAAAGCCAGAAACATATGACAGTGGCAATACATCGTCCTACCCGAGTGGTCGTCTGGTGGCGTCTCCTCGCACGGTCGCACCCCGCCGCGCGGTGCCCATGCGTCACCGATAACCTCTGTCTCCCTCGCCATCTCCGGTCGCCGCACGTCGACCTCCTCCGCTATATCTCCACGGTGGCACGAGGGCGAGAGGATGGCTGTGGACCAGAGGTGAAAGAATCCGGCCGTCCTAGCGCTTCGAGGAAACAATCATGCTCGTGCGTGTGTGTGCGTCCATGTGTGTCTGTGTGTGTGTGTGTTTTGCGAGCAATTATGCTAATATTTAGCTTGTGTACACTTCTATGTTGTTTTCTTTCTCTGCTGCTTTGCTCTTCGGTTTTTGTATACACTCCTTTTTTTCAACTAAAAAAAGAAGCTTCAGTACGCACAGGAGAAACACACGTCGATGTATACGCTAACTCTATAAAACGGGTGGTCCGATCATGTCGACAAGAGCTTCTCTGACGAAACCGAACGTGGTCCTGATCAAGTTCCCTTCTTATAGTTGGGTCATGTCCATGATTCGGCAAAAAGTTTAAGTTATTATTCATCTGACAAAAAAAATACAAAGGTCAATTCAAAGCCACCTACTATGCGAATAAAGTCGCTACACCTATAAGTATAAAGATGTATCCTGATCATGTCATCAGACACCACCTAATTGGCCTCAAGAAGCCGTCGACTTGGCATGCTGAGAGCACCAACTGGTCTAGACGACCCACAACACGCACCACATGCGCACGCTGTAGGATCCACCGCCTCCATCTTCCGTTGTCACATCTTACCGAAAAAGGCTTTCGCCCCGCTTTACAAATAAAGCAACCACCAAGCACAAAGTACCAAGGTAACAACAGAACACACCACACACCACACACCAACACACAACGCCACCGCAAGTGAAGTCTAACACTCACACGCACACACAGACACAAACAGCCCCAGGTTCCGCTGTGGGCACAGCACAACAAGCCCAACACAAAAGCACGACGAAACAACCCAAGACGGCGGTGGCGGAGGCAACGACATGATGATCTAATCTGGTTTCGGAGGTGGTGGGGGAAGCGGCGGCGCCAACCGGAGAGCCATCGCGTGGAGCTGGGTGATGATGGAGGTGATGGCGTCTCTCTCCATGGGACGGCTAAGCGGCCACCAAAGCTGCAAGTAACCAGACCATTTGAACAAAGCGTCAGTAGCACGACGAAGAGGGATATGCTGAATCACAAGTTTATTCCTAACAGTCCACAGCGTCCAGGCAAGGACCCCAATGGCCAGCCACCTAATGTGGCGCAACGAGGGTGGGATCGCCTGGAGTTCGGCAAAGAGAGCGGGGAAGTTGTTATGGTCCCAACTTCCACCCACAATCTTGCGGAAACAGCTCCAAGGGACTGCGCGGACACGCAGGTTCGAATCTTCTTCAGGCCCACAGAGTGGGCAGCGCCCATCCCCAGGGCCATTGCATTTCAGAACCACGCCAGATGGGAGGCGGCCGCGAATCCATTGCCACAAGAAGATCCTAATTTTCAGGGGGAGGCGGATCTCCCAAATGGAGGAGAGCACCTCATGGCCAAGCGATAGGGTAATGGCCAGGTACAAGGATTTGGTGGAGAATTGCCCAGAAGGCTCTAGACGCCATCTGGCATGGTCATTGTCCGTCGTGAGATCAGGCTCATGGAGTGCAATACAGTCGAGCAGCTCCTGCCAGTCCGCGTTCTCAGCTGGGTCAAAAGGTCTCCGGAAAGCTAGTTGCCCTAAGTCAATAAGGGCAGTCGCCACGGAGATCTGTGGTGCAACCGCGATGGAGAAAAGGTCTAGAAAGCGGGCCGCAAGGGGCATGTCGCCAGCCCACCTATCGAACTAGAACAGCATGGCGGTGCCGGAGCCAATCTCGATCGAGGTCCCGATCCGAAGGACAGGGAGGAGCTGAATGATGGACTGCCAGAACTGGGAGCCCCCAGATCGCTGGCAGAAGGCGAGAGGCTGGCCGCGAAGGTATTTCTACTGAATGATGCGGAGCCACATGCCACCATCACCATTAGCAATCGGCCATAGCCACTTAGTCAGAAGGGCAATGTTCATGCGTTTGGAGGACATGATACCCAGTCCGCCTTGGTCGCGAGGTTTGCAGATCTCAGACCACCTGACCATGTGGTACTTCTGCTTATCCCCCTCGCCTGCCCAGAAGAACCGCCCCTGAATGGTGGCAATCTCGTGATGGAGGGTCTCGGGAAGGCTATGGAAGCTCATGATGAATAATAGCAGGCTGAAGAGGGACGAGTTAATGAGCACCATACGGGCCGCTTTCGAAAGCCACCTACCCTGCTAGGGCTCGATCCGATGCTGAAGCTTTCCCACCGTGGGGCACATCTCGGCCACCGTAAGCCTAGAGTCCCTAATGGGGATCCCCAGATATGTGGTGGGGAAGCACCCGAGCTAGCAGTTAAGCCGATCCGCAATGCTCTGGCACTCGTCTTGGGTGTAGCCCAAGACCATCACCTCACTCTTGTCGAAGTTGATCTTAAGGCCGGACATTTGCTGAAAGCACAACAGGAGGAACTTGAGGTTGGAGATATCACTCTCCGAACCCTTCACCATGATAATGGTGTCATCCGCATATTGGAGCAGGGAAATCCCGTTCCCCCCAACCAGATGCGGTACTATCCCCTTAATGTGGCCTGCTGCCTTGGCCTTATCCAGGATGGCCACCAGAGCATCGACCACCATGTTAAACAGGAACGGGGAGAAGGGGTCACCCTGACGCACCCCACAAAATGTGGGAAACAATGGGCCGATCTCCCCATTAATGTTCACCGCAGTGCGACCCGAGGAAACCATCTACATCACCCTGGTCACCCACCGGTCATCGAAGCCCTTACAGAGGAGACATTCCCGAAGGAAGGCCCAACTGACCGTGTCATAAGCCTTGTGGAAATCCAGTTTCAGGAAGACTTCCTTGAGGTGTTTGGAGTGCACCTCATGGAGCGCTTCGTGGAACACCAAGACTCCATCAAGGATATATCAGCCCTGGATGAAGGCCGACTGGTCCGGGTGGGTGATCCGGTCGGCGATAGGGGCCGCCCTAATGGTGTACCCCTTGGCGAGGATGCGAACGATGACATTAATCACCATAATCAAGCGGAATTGCCGGATGTCGGACGCCCCAGCCACCTTGGGGATGAGAGTGATTACCCCATAGTTCAGCCGGGCAAGGTCAATGGACCCAACAAAGAACTCGTCAAATAGGGCCAGCACCTCAGGTTTGATCACCTCCCAGAAAGTCTGGAAGAACTTGACTGGGAGGCCATCCGGGACGGGAGCCAAGGATGGCTTTATGGCCTTAATTGCCGCCAATACTTCAGCCTCGGAGAATGGGGCCGTGAGAGCCGCATTATCCACAGGTGTGATGCAACAGTGGGCAGGCCAAATGTCTTGTGCTAAGGCAAGACCTCCCCGAGGGGAGGCAGAGAATAGGTCTCTGTAAAAGCCATCTACATGGTCCCGGGTGTCCTCCGGTCGCTGCAGGAGGGACGCTCCGTCCCACATGAGGGGGATGGAGTTACGGCGTCTGCGGCCATTAGCGATGGCCTGGAAGTAGGCAGTATTGGCGTCCCCCTTTAGGACCCAATTCTGCGTACCTCACAAGCGCCAGTATGCCTCCTCATTAGTGTAGATCACCATGAGCTGATCTTCCAGGTCGTACCTAAGCATCGATTCATCCGCCGATAATCCAGCGGCGTCAGCCCGCAGGTTGAGGGCCTGGATGCCCTCAAGGAGGGCTTTCTTCTGCTCACGGATGTCCTGGCCCACGTTGGCACCCCACCCTTTCATCAATTGTCGTGACCTCTTGGCACAGAAATGC